CCGTAATGAGAGTTCATAATGGCATGAAGAATTGATGCTACAGTTGCTCCAGTTGGGAACTGAACACCAACCATCCAGCCTGTAGCCTGTCACTATAATCACTTAGCTATCTGAGGTCTGTTATTAACAATCTCCTCCTATTACCATATTTTGAATATCAGAGGTGCATTTTACACTTTTTTTTTCTGTCAAAAAATTGAGCTGAGTCTTAAATTCGAGGAATGTGCACCTTTCTGATTCTTTTCCAAAAATCCACAGTAAGAAACTTGATGTGGCGGGCACAAGATTACAAAGACAGAGAAAATGTGCAGAGATTGTTGAGCCACAGCTGTGCTGTGGTGAAATAGAGTGGATTGGCATAACAGTAATGCTTTAGATTCGTATTCTGGAACTTGTAAATTTGAATATTGGCTGGGACACCAGCAATCATCAGGAAATGAAGGGGTATGGACAACACTGTCTTACAAGTTTCCTAGTAATGATAATCCAAGATGTGATAACAGTAGACTGGTGGTGTGCATACTTGGAATGTAGCACTGAGCAACAGCACAAAAATCCACTATATATATATAGTGCTATATACAGCAGACTGCGTGATGGAAGCTGCTCTCCAAGGAAAGAGTACAGTTTTCTGGATTATAACACTATGTAGTTTGGAGCAAGTCTGACGTTTCAGAGGAGCATATCACCTCTATCTTCATTGTCAAAGAGTAAGCCCAGTATGAAACCAGCAAGATGCTCATTTTCCACCAACTTCTTACCAGTTTGTTGCTTGATCTAGCCTTAGACCCTCAAGATGGAGTCAATAGATGCCTCAAAAATGTCAGTGAACTATGCTGGACCACGCAGTGTTAAAACCCAGAAGATGGTACTCCTCATAATTGCTGCTGTGAGGACCTCAGCTTCGACACACTATCTAAGTGTATGAAAGGACTCCTACAGAAACTTAGTGAGAGTATCTGTCTTGAAATGTGTGAAAGACTTCCAAAGATTGTGCCTATTGCTATAGTAACTCTTTAATATTACTTTATATACTGCTAATATACCTTTAATATTTTTAATAATATTCCAAAATTGTATATATAGTATATCTTTATTTATTTCTGTCTTTTTATATTTTTAATAATGTATTTGCTATTTTTAACTATACTCCAATCTGAGGCAAAGTTTTTATGTTAATTCAATACGACGCATTGCACCAATAAGGATCCGTATTGGTATTTCAATAACTATACGTATTCCTGCTCGATGATGGTCATGTATGACCAAAACATGTTGCAGTAATAAAGATCTAATGTAATAACTAAAATATTGGTTGTGTTGATGGTAACATAGTTCTTACATATTATATAAAGCACAATAGACCACTGTAGGTCACAGAGCAAGGGCCGAGAAGGCCCACCCCTCATACATTCATTCATACATGTTATATATTGTCTGTGACACACAACAGGATGCAACCTATGAAAATAATAGCAGCAACTCTCCATAACACAAAAGCAAAGGTTAAAATAAATGGGGAGCTGAGCGAAGGATTCCAAATAAGCTGTGGAGTGAAACAGGGTGACCCATTATCCGGATCACTTTTCATACTGGTTATAGACGAGATCATAAAAAGTTTAGACATACTCATTATTGCGAAACCAAACAAACATTGATTAACACCTCTGAAGAACATAAAAAGCCTCACAAAAAGTATGGGCTGTTAGTCAACGAACAAAAAACTAAATTCCTACACTGTTCTAACAAACCTCAAATAATCCAAGTTTTCAGATGCAGTGATGTAAATATAGAACAAGTTTCTCATTATAAATATTTAGGATCTATAGTTAATTCAGATAACACAATTGAACAAGAGATTAATGAGGGTTTTTTTTTTCTGTGGTGCTACAGCCCCAATTTGGGCCTAGGCCTACCTCCATGAAACTCTGTTTCACTTCGGTTTACTAGATCTTACACATTTGGTAGGACTCCTTGGGTGAGTGATCAGCTCGTCGCAAGGCCTCTACCTGTAGACAAACACAGAAAAACGCAGACAAACATCCATGCCCTGAGTGGGATTCGAACCCACGATCCCGGCTTCCGAGCGAGCGAACACAGTGCATGCCTTAGACTGCTCGGCTACCGTGACCGGCTTAAAGAGAGGTTAGCAATTGGAACTAAAGCATATGCTACACACTAACACTGCTTAAAAGTAAACTTATTTCTAAAACAGCCAAATTAAGATTATACCAGATGGTAATTCGACCAACAGTAACCTACGCCTGCAAAACCTGGACACTCAAAGAAGCCATTAAACATAGACTTTTTAAGGAAAATTCTAAGAAAGATCTTTGGGCCATCAAGAAACCGCGATGGCTCCTGGAGTATTAAAGCAAATGATGAACTAGATAATCTAATAAAAGGAAGGAACACAATTAACTTTTTTTAATTGCTAGTGGGGTGGGACTAAGTCCCTTGTACTGCGGCCACTTCTGGCCTATTGTACCAGCCCCAGATGATAGGTGAGGGTGATTGTGGAGCAATTGGTGGAATGAAGATTGGCTGGGGAAACTGAAGTACTCTGAGAAAACCTGCCCCAGCGCCACTTTGTCCACCACAAATCCTATACTTAACTTCATGAAAGCCCAAAGAATAAGTTGGCTTGGACGTATCTCAAGGATGGAGACTTGACGAACAGTTAAAAGAATATATGACTGGCAGCCACATGACATAAGAAAGAGAGGCTGACTTAAGATTAGATGGAAAGATAACGTAAGGGAAGACCCAAAGGATTTAGGAGTTTATAACTGGATAACTTACACACAGGACAGAAGTAGTTGGAAGGACATCGTTGAGCAGGCCAAAGCATTCAAGAAATTAAGCTGTCGAGCAAATAATGGTAACATGCACAAATTTAAACAAGTATAAAAGTGACCTGTTGGTTTTAATGCAAACAACTGTTGGCAAAGAATACTTCATTTCACTGTTGTCAGTGATGAATACAATTTGAAAGTATTAATGTTTTTCATTAAGTGACTAAATGAATGGTTTTATCCTAGCATGGCTGAAGCAAAGAAAAGAAAGTTGTTGATGAAACTCATATATTTAAAAATAGATAGATGGGAGAGCATTTTAAGCCCACTTCCCTCATTTTGAAAAAATAAAAGGAGGCTTATGAAATCACCATCCTCTCTGTTTATTCCTCCTTGAAGCTGACCTCTTTATATAACTTCAGGTCAGACTGCAGAGAAAACACCACCTCCAACAGTTCCTCTGTTAGCTTACTTTCCCTTTGTGTCTATTATTGCTAGGCAACGGCTCGATGAACATGGTCCTGCAGCAAGGAGTACACATGCAACAATAGAAGAATTGTTGGATGCATTGTTTTCTGCACAACCCATGTCACATCAAAGGGGCTGTTTGCATAGTTCTTAATGAAAATATCAATTTCAAATCAATGCAATATTAACATGTATTATGAAACAAAGCACACACCTCAAACTGAGTGGAATATTCATCTCATGAATGAACAGAACATCACACTACAGAGAACAAATAACATTGTCAGTGAGATGTTTGAAAGAATTACACTGTTCAAGAGAAATCTTCAGTTGTGGGAACTGCAAATGCCATCAGTCCTGTTGTATGCTTCCCCTTTCTGAGAACAGAAACGCCCACTGATGCTGAGAAATACACAATGTAAGTTCAGCTTCTTCAACCAGAATTTAACTCATTTGCAAATTATATGCAATTATGAAGCTGCAATAAATTTATTTTTGATGTCATTTGACATTTAATGTTGAAAGTATTTTGAATTAATTTTAAATGGAAATGACAGATTTGCAGTGTGACATGGACCTGAGAACATGTTTAACACGTCTAACTCCTCTTCCTTTAGTGACCATGCATAGTGAAGGAAAGGGCTTTTCAGAACTATGTACATGTGAACAGTTATTTTAAAACCAAAAGTCAAGAGTAAATCTAGACATCAACTCAACAGCATAAGATTGGAAAGCTGCCTCCTAGTATCTACTTTTCACATTCATCAATACTGAGAACTTGGTTGCAAAGGAACAGTGGCTAGTTTCTCACTGACATTCTTTCAGTCTTCAAAATAAAGCTGTAAGGTATAAATATTATATCAATATTGTTCATTGCATTCATACTAATAATACTGTCATGTAAAACTTAATGTAATATTTTGTTGAAAAAATACAACTTTCACTGTTCCCATCTGGCTTGCTGCCACCAAGGATTCTGAGTTTTTTTTTTAATTGGCCCTTATGCAACACTGCTGTACAGGTTCAGTAACTCTCTGTAAACAGGCATGTGCAAAATACATGTTCTGTATTAGGCTAGCACCGAGAACTTCCAGCTGCCCTCCACTCTTGTTGCTGCTTCTCCACTCCACCATCCAACACCACTTATCAATCTTAAAGCTTCGTCTAATGCCTGTAACTAAAATAATTCCATTTTCCCTCATGAAATGATGAAGAAGTTTGGATTGGACGTTCTTATAGCTGTGGCTAAGAAGAGTAACACTTGTGTTGTCTGGAGACAAAACAACATTTTTGATGAACATATCACTTCCATCTTTAGGGTTGATGAGTAAGCAAGTAAGAAACAAGCAAAGAAAGGCAGCAAGCTGATTTCTTGCTTGCCTTACTCTTCAACCTTGAAGATGGAGGCAGTATATACTTATGGAATGTTGGGCTCTCTCCATAATACATGGCATTATTCGTACAATCCAGAAGACCACACTTTTCATAAATAAGGTTAGCATGTCTCAGAGTGTCACAACTAGATACTTTTCATACGCATGAAAGAAAAGGTGCTCAGCAAGGAAAGTGTATGAATACACTGAACAGGAGGCACATGCATAACTCCTTTTAAAAATGTATGCCATCTGCCAAGCTGAGAGTTACGCATCAGGAGTACATATTAAACATTTGTTCTTAAGGTACAGAATTAAACTCTTATCTCTATAGAAATCAACATATACACACATTCATCCCATATTAATCTACAGATATGATAATTTATATACATGAAAAAGACACAGGAGAATAACTGTATAATAATGAGACTTGTTTCATAAACAAAACATCTTAATGTAATTAATATTATAGTGTCCCACTAAAACTGAATGGTAAAAATCATATCAAATTGTTATTGTCATTTTAAATGTTAAATATCCATTTCAAATGCACTTTCACTTACTCTGTTGGCACCACTACTACTATAAAAAACACAAATGTAAATGTGTTGCACTCATCTGTATAAACACTGAACTCTTATAAATAAGAGTTGTTGCAAACTTTCTTTAATACACACAATAGAATGAAGACCCTTGCATGTCACATCTCACATTCATAATGACTGTAAGAACTTATATCTCTTTATTCCTTCAATTCTTAGACATCTTTATTTATAATAAAAACTCATATAAAAGTTAACTGTTTTGATACTCAAGTTGTGATGTCTTATTTTACTTTTCTAATATTCTTCCTGCCACAAATATCTTTTTGTGTGTTGAATCTTATATATATATATACATCACTGGCACAGGAATGGCAAATTTAAATACATGTCTCATATTCTATATAAATTTAATAATATCCATCTAATTTAAATGGTTTTAAGATCCTATGGCCACTATGAACATTTTTACAGGTACTTTTAAAAGATCAAATGACACAGCAGTATCATATTTCATATCAGTTCACATCAGACATTAACATTTTTATGCCCTCATCTGCATTTCTTGAAACTAAAATCCTTTCATATAAACACTACACTTTTGATCCTGATGGCTGAATCTGGGTCATCTGTTGACCAATTGTGACATGAGTAACGAATGGTCCTTGTGTCCGTCCTGTGATATTATTGACTTTAGAACCCACAATGCTAACACCTCTGTTACCATGAGTGTGGTGATTTGACTGGCCAACATTATGTACAAGAGGAACTGCAGGCAAACTGTTCATACCACTATTACTGCCACTACGATTGTTCCGCTGATCTATGTCATGCGTATGTGAAGTTCGCATGTGATGATTGCTATCATTTATATTAACTATGTGGGTGCTGCTACCGGATTCATGTTTTGAGCATGTGGAAGATCGGAATGGGTGCTGATAGATGTTTACACCATCTGCAAAAAACCAAAACATTATAGCTGACACTAAGAATACCCTGTCTTTTATACATCACCAATGTCACCAGTTGTACCTGAACATAACTCTGTCTGATAATGTGTCAGGATATTTTGTGCATATCAAATTAAAAGACGCAATATATCTTCTCACAGTTTTTATTACAGTTCCTTGTTCAGGTTAACAACTGCAATCCTGATTGACATGTCAAGCCTGCAAGTAGATAATGCAAGTTAAAGTCTTATGTATACCATATACAGCACTTCTCAACTGGTGGTACATATCTCAATTTATGCTGATCTGCAGATACTGGTTTGTAGGAGGGCCGTTTGGAAAGTAACCTCATTTAATTTAGGCAACTAATGTAGAAGTGGGAGAGAGCTCACATATGCACATAACTCATTGCCTGGTAAACCATCATATAACTCGTCACCTAGTGTTTGTTCTTTTTCTCTACAGAATGAGTTATGATGTGCCCTGTGATTGATAACAATTGTCTGGCCAAGACCACTCATTCTGCATGGAAAGCACCTTAGTGGAATCAAAGCCAAAACACAAAGGCTAAAAGGACAGGCCACTGGTATACATATAAGGAAATTCTCACCTGTTACAACAGCAAATCAGGAAAGCCAAATGGTCTTCATGGAAGAGTTTCTGCCAGGAGATCACTGATGTACCAGGCAGTGCCAGATCATGATCGTTGCAAAACAAGCGACCAAGAGGGTCAACACTATTAAGCTACCTGATGTCAGTACATCCAAACTGGAGGGGAGACACTGAAAGAGCTATTCAGAGTTCACTTTCCTGACTCAATGCTGACTAATGATTCAAGTGATGGACAGGGACAGCAGAACCTGGATGTATGCAAAAGCACAACAAACAGGGGAGACTGGAACCTGGCCAGAAATTTAATCAGTCAGTCAGTCCAAATTAGATGGGTGCTAGGTACCTTCAAATCACTTCAGTCAGCAGGAACAGATTAAACTGTGCTAGCACTTTTGTGACAAAGGGTGGAACATTTAGTTTCATACCTTTGCCACACATTTACAGACTGTGTGGCATATGAATTTATTCCTATGGCCTGGAGGCAGGTTAAAATGGTTTATTCCAAAGCCTGGGAAATCTGACTACACTGAGGCTAAGGCATATTGTCCTATCAGCCTGTTGTCTTTCCCTTTGAAGACAGTGGAGAAATTAGTGGACAGATGTATTAGGGACATTGTACTAAAGGAGCATCCTCTACACCAAAACCAACATGCAGACCAAATTTGTAAGTCTACTGAAACTGCACTTCATAATGTGGCAACATGCATAGAAAGTGCTATTAAATATAAGGAAATTGTCTTAGGAGCATTCCTTGACATAGAGGGAGTTTCTGATAGAACCTCATTTGATATACTAACACAGGCTGCTGAAAAGCATGGCATTGAGCAGGTGGATCAGCTCTATGCTGAAAAGCAGAAACATAATAATTACACTGTTGGGAAAAACCATGACTGGTATGCCTGCAGGGAGGTGTGCTCTTGCTTCTTCTGTGGAGCCTGGTTGTGGATGATCTCTGGGAGCTTAATGTCAATGATTATTACACAGTAGGATGTGCAGATGATATTGATATCCAAATCAACAGGAGATTCCCTCAGACTGTGTCAGAAATCCTACAAACAGCTTTATGCATATCCAACAGTGGTGCAATATGACAAATTTGTCCATCAACCCCAATAAGAGGGTGATAAAACCTTTTTCTGGGAAGAGAGATGTTAGGGACTTATAGAACCAACCCTCTTCAGTAATACAATCCAGCTGTCCAGTGAGGCCAAGTACCATGGACTAACATTACACAAGGGACTGACATGGATAAAGTAACTAACTTGACCTACAAGGCCTTCTGGACATGTGGAGGCACATTTGGAAAAACCTGAGGAATGAAACCAAAGGTAATGTACTTGATATACGTTGTGTGTTCAAGTTCTAAGGTCTCCGATTTTTTTTTCTCACACAATAATCATACAAAAAATTTGAAACTTCTGTCACTTTTCAACGTAATCTCCCTGCAGCCGTACACATTTTTCACAACATCGACGCCATGATTCCATGGCCGCTGCGAACGCTTCTGTAGGAGTCTGTTTTGACCACTGGAAAATTGCTGATGCAATAGCGGATTGAAAAACGGCATCCATGTCTCATCCATTGTCAAAGTTGATGAAAAGAAAGTCCCATTCATGCTTTCATCATTGCCATGTGTGCAGCCTTGTGGTCATCCACCAAAATTCGTGGAACCCACCTGGAGGACACTTTCCGCATTCGCAGGTCTTCATGCAGGATTTTGTGCACAGATCCCACGGAAATGCCAACTTTGGGGGCGATGTTTTCCACACTCAATCGGCGATCCTCCAAAACAACTTTCTCAACTCGCTCGACCATGTTGTCAGACCGGCTGGTGCGAGGCCGAGATTGCTTCAGTTCGTTCTCACACAACGTTCGGCCTTCTTTGAACTGTCGTGCCCACGAAAGCACATTTTTCACATTCATGACACCATCACCACATGTCTCACTCAACTGGCGATGAATTTCAATGGGTGTCGCACCACGCAAGTGGAGAAAACGAATGATTACTCGCTGTTCTTGTAACGAAAACGTCGCCCTTTTAAGTATCAAAAACACTCCTCACACTCGCCGCTACCACTAGAGTTCTGCCATCTCTGTCACGCATTCACAAAGAGTGCACACGTATTTTAAACAAAACCGCATGTGTCTATCTGCTCCCAGTCCTGAGAAAAAAAATCGGAGACCTTAGAACTTGAACGCCCCTTGTATACTGTGGCTACAAGACCCATAGTCACTTATGCTGCCATTGTGTGGTGGCCTAAGGACAAATTCAAAAGAAGCAAAATTAAACTTAGCAAACTGCAAAGGATGGCCTGCTTAAAAATTACTGGAACAATGAAAACAGCTCCAACAGCTGCAACTGAGGTCCTCATTGGACTCCCCCCACTACACCTCTAGCTGGAGGCTAAGGCCACCAGTTGAAACTAAAATCTGAAGGTTTTGGACAGGCACACATGACTCAAGGCATAAAAAAAAATAACCCATTCTACAGATGGGGACTGACAGAATTATACTGTGATATGTTTATGACAAACCTTTCACAGCCAGATTCCCTGAAAGAAGTGACTGGAAAGATGGGTTTCAACCCGAAAGGAAGGAAGGATGAGTCTGGTATGGAGATGGCTCCGAGACCAATATGGGTACTGAGGCTGGGGGCATATGGTTATGGCACAAGGTGGAAGCTTTGCTTCAGCACTGGGAATTAGACCACAGTATTCCAGGCAGAAGTGTATGCCATTAAGGCATGTGCAGCTGAGAATCTTGACAGGACCTATAGAAATAGGTACATCTATATTCTATCAGATAGTTAAGCTGCAATTAAAGCACTTGACAATCACCAAATCAATTCAACACTTGTCTGTGACTGCCATCAATCCCTCATACAACTGGTCAAACATAACAAGAGTTCAGCTGGTACGGGTGCCACGTCATAAGGGTAATGAAACTGCCGATCAACCAAATTGGGATCCAAATGTCCATTCATAGGACATGAACCAGCTTGTGGCACATCAATAAAGTTGCCAAGAAAGCTGCTCAGGACTGGACAAACAGAGACCATAAAACACTGGGAATCCTTAACAGGACTCAAACCTCTGACAGAAGAACCAAGGAAGTGTTAAATTTAAACAGAAATCAATTACAGTGGGTGATAGGACTACTTACTGGACACTGCCACCTAAAAGGACACCTTTTCAAACGGATACTGACAGTCCTATTTGCGGAAGGTGCCTAGAAGATGAATCAGCCACACATATCCTATATGAGCATGAAGCCACAGCTTATTTAAGATTCTGTCACAACTAACATGACACCCCTACAGGCAGAATTAGAAATGACTGCAGTTCATTGAACACACTACTAAAATTTCTATAAAATTCACTTATAATGCCTTTTAAATACAATCTTCAGCCAATATTACTTGATTAGTCAAGCAAATATAAAAGTGACATTAGAACTTATACTGCTTGTCAGTAGCTTCAGTTTGATTATTCTCTGAGGGTTTATTAGAGAAATATTTCTGTATCTATTGTAACCATTTGCCTACACGTTTGACACCATCTCCTCTCTTACCATCCTTTTGGCCCCTTTGTTGCTGGTTGCTGCTGCATCCTTCTTGTCCAGTTCTTCCCTTTTTGTTAGTGTTGTGGATATTTGATGTTTGCGGGGTATGGGTTACATGAAAGCTGAGCGCCAGTAAGCTTATTATAAAGGCTTACTTTTCAGGAAAAAGAGGGGATAAACCGGAAACTACAGGTGATAGGTACCGCATTCGCACTAGAGCGATGAGATTCTGTCTCAGGGTGCATACAGGCCTCGTGTTAGCGGGAAAGATAAGAGTGTTTATAGCTAGGCACTACCACACAGTGTTTAATGAGCACTTTTTGATATTCAAGTAACAGCACTTGTCCTTAATCCCTTAAACAAACATGAAATCACTCGAACTTTTGCGACCGGACCTCTGGCTAGTTATTTAGTGACTGCTTTTTAGCACAACACTTCCATTTAAACTTTTAAGCCAATTAAGATTCACACTAATTTTTGTGTCTGATTAATTTTGCATAGTTATTCAGAGATTGTTCCAGTAACACTCTTAAAATAATTTTGTTTATAACTTTGACTTTTAAACCAAGCTGCCAGTGATGCTAATTTTTCGGCTGTACACTTGGAGAGTTGTTCAGAGACTCCTTTCGCAGACTGACTCTGCTTTGAAGCAAGAAATCTTCACAGCTTCAGCTCCGCCTCCAAGTTACTACCCTAATTTCGGCTGATTGGAACAATTCGAATTTGGGGAGTTAACCATAATTCTCACTGCTCCAGTCACCTAGCTTCAGTTTGAGACTTTGGACCTTAAAGTCCTAACGTCGTCTTTGATAGCTGCTTGAAAAATTATACCAGTAGCGTGGGTTGCTGGCCTTCCCACTTTTGATTTACGGGGTTCAAAACCTGTCAAGTGTAACTTTACCAAAGGATCCCGCTGGTCAACTTTCGAACTGAATTTCCAAGAAAACTCTGTGGGTTGCTTGCTGCCTGTTCTTTGTAGGAGTGAAGCAGACCCTATTCTTGAAACCAAGAATCGGGCTTGAACCCTTGAATGTTCCTTATTATATCCTATGTATAATTACTATAAAAAGAAATCTTGATTACAAATAAAGATGGTGTCAGTGGTACGGGTACAATATACTTTTGCCCTTGTCATGATGTGTCCTTGAGGTTGGCTTGATGTGCATTGACTGAGAGTGGTACTACTCCGTAAAATTAATTTGAATTGTACACATGATATGTACATGTAAGATTTCAACACAGTGCTGACCAATAATGGAACACAAACAATAGAAACACTTACTGTTATTTTTGTTGTTTATTCCTCTGTTTTCCTGCAACTGCATTCGTCGTTGTAAGGAGCTGTTGGAGTTGTTGTCAACAGCGATGGTGGTTCCATGTTGGTGCTGACTTGCTCTCAAGGCATCATTTCTATTTTGGTTAGGCTTTTGGCTCTCTTCTTGATGCTGGGAAGACTTCATACCTTCATCTTGATGCTCTTTGGACCTCATGGCCTCCTCTCTGTGCTGCCTGGTGGATTTCATGGCCTCATCTCGATGCTGAATGGACTTCATAGCTTCGCTCTGAAGCTGATTTGACCTCACAACTTCCCCTTGATGCTGACTGGATCTCATGGCTTCATTCCGAAGTTGATTTGACCTCAAAGCTTCATCATGGTGCTGACTGGATCGCATCACACTTTGTACACTTTCATACTCATAGAAATTTGAGACTGGTCTCTGATGTGGCTCACGGTTATCACGACGCTGTGAATGGTAATGCTGTTGTCTGCGACTGATCACAAAACAGAAGAGAATTTTGGTTAAATGTTTAGAGCTGACTCATCAAAACAATTTGCTTAATCAATTCTGTATAGTTATTAGCCTATTTATTTTATTTTATGAGAAATCTGATGTTAATGGGATATGTGTGTATGTTTGAGTTTCAGATACACTGTGATGCTGAATCAACTGCTGAGGTTATGCAGTAAAGTGGCGTTGGTGGGGGTGGCGGTACCACATGTTAACATGTTAGTTCTGTATCACCAGCCACAGTGCTGTGCCAGCCAAGGCAAAAAAAAAAAAGGTTATAAACAAGAGATAAACTGCCTAAATTCAGGGAAATTTCAGGGGTAATTCAAGAGCAGTGGCAGCTCAGACAGTATAGTGCTCTGAATTCAGGCTGGATGACCAGAATTCAATTCCTGGCACAGGGAGACATCTTTTCAATTTCATGCCATATCAATTCAAGAGCATGTCCAGCCCCCTGTTCAATGGGTACTGGGGTTATTTCCCTGGGACTAAAATGACCTAAATCTAGTGCCAAGATGAAGAATGCATGGAGCTATATGCCCATTTATTCATACATCTTCAAGGTGCAGTGCTTAATTGTCAGGAGAACGTTAGCTTTACCTTTTACTTTACAAATTTAATTAAAACTCAGAAGTGACTCTCCAAATGTTCTGAAATAATTCAGAATTATTTGGGAGCAGTGCTATATAACTGTGTAGCTGAAACAGCATCACTAAATAATATGTGTCAACCAAGCATTTTTACAAACAGAAATACTTAATGGAAAGTTGGAATCATGAATTCTTCGTGGAAGTTTCTTCTTTTGATAATGATTGTGTTCTTAAATAAAAAACAACCTAAAATGAAAACACTTCACAATGACTGAAAATTAAATAAGAAAAGAACATANCATCTATGTTAATATTTCTAACCAAAGCCAAATAACTGAGCCACTGCAGTTTTAAACAATACACAAAGACACAGAGATATTGGGTTTTCGGACTTTATCCATCGTCCTGGTTTTTAAGATAACTAAGAAAAAACACGATGTTTCAGAAACTGGATCTGTTTCCGTCCGCAGGTGAGGGAAAACACCTATTCTGATGGGTCCCTTAGAAAGAGCTAGCCTCTATGTCCAATGATTGAGGTTAGCTCAACCCAATTGAGTACGCGTCTCTCACCCCTTCACCTGAGGCCACTGTCCAGTGATTGAGGCTAGCTCTTTCTAAGGGACCCATCAGAATAGGTGTTTTCCCTCACCTGCGGACGGAAACAGATCCAGTTTCTGAAACATCGTGTTTTTTCTTAGTTATCTTAAAAACCAGGACGATGGAAAAAGTCCAAAAACCCAATATCTCTGTGTGTTATACACCATCGTCAGAATCCTATAGTAACTACTAATACACAAAGAGTTTACTCTAAATGGGTCTGACAGTGGTGTGTAACACTTGAGGCTACTGGGTTCTTGGACTTTGTCCATTGTCTAATATTCTAAAAGAACATGTTTTGCAACTTGGATCTGTTTTCATCACCAGGTGAGGGGGTGGGTGACACCTACTCTGTAGGTTCTGTTAGAAAGAGCTAACCTCTATGTCCAATGATTGAGGTTAGCTCAACCGAATAGAGTAGGCGTCTCTCACCCTTTCACCTGAGGCCAGAAACAGATCCTGTTTCCAAACTATTGTGCTCTTCAGTGTTCTTTAGAATTAAATATATCATACTAAAAATGATTCAACTGATTTTTCTATGTAATGTGCTGTTATCATGAAGACTGGCTTATTTTCATATGAAGTAGTATTGATATTGGATGAATATTAAACTTGCCAGAAAACTTTCAGCTGTGACATCCCATACCAAAATCCACCAAAATATATGAAATGATTTGGGAGCTGATATATGGATAGAAAGGTAGGCCAACATTTTGTGTCCCATTACAGGCACAGTTTATAAGTCCTCCCACCCCCAGATTAAAAACACCAAATTCTTAAAACTTAACCATTAAAAATTAAATAAAGCATTACTGCATGCAGAGCACAAAAGTGGTCAATAATCACAGCTAAATCAGGTTTGCATGCAATTTGCTGCAACACAATCAGAAATGTCTACATTAAAAGCAGAAGTTAGAGGTTTGGATGGTGCAGCACATTAGAGTAAGTTTGTAACTGTTCATAAATCTGTTGTGTGTCATATACAGAATGTCCCAGGAGGAATGGACCAAACTTCGGGAGGGTGTTCCTTATGTTAAAGTATGCCGATATAACCCAAAACACCTATGTCCAAAGTTGAACGGTTACAGAGATAATGGCCAGAGAAGTGTCAAACTTTGACCGGCATTGCACACTTGTTGATTACAAAATACATATTAAAACTGGCAGGAATATGTGGATTCTGTAATGTTAATAATGTACGTAACATAAAACTAACTTGTGAGTGATGTGAAGCCATAAAATTGAAGTACAAAATACTCGCTCGCCATGTCATAATTGTCCTTAGGGTTTCCAAGCACTATACATGACAAATGAATGGCAAGCACTGACGTAATATGACTGACTGCACGTTCTGATAAAGCCAACTACATAAGTACGGCTAAGGTGAATCACGGCACTCAAGGACAAACATAGATAAGGCCTCTCAGCTGACAGATACAGTGCATGGACCCGCCAGAAGACCACACTTTTCTTGGGCCATTATCTCCTTAACCGTTCAACTTTGGACATAGGTGTTTTGGGTTATATCGGCATACTTTAACATAAGGAAACCTTCCCGAAGTTTGGTCCATTCCTCCTGGGACACCCTGTATATGATATATAAACTGGGGGCAGTGTACACAACAATATTTCCAAAAAAAAAAAAAAATAGTACTGTATCAACATTTGTTTATTGGCTTTTGACACTACATGTTTTGACCTCTATGTTGGGTTATCATCAGGCATATAATAATACAAGCATTAGCTCTTGAATTGTGTCTTAATTCAATATTGATCCATAGTCTGTTCTTATAAGTTTTATATACATAATTTCAATTTACAGTTAAACAGTAAAAGTTAAAATTATAATTGCACAAAAATATTTGTAATATTTATTATAAGCCTCTTTAAAACTCTGTGACCGCTACGTATTAATATACTGTTCTAGGTGGTAGGAATAATTATGTTGTAGGGTGCCCGCATGTTGAGTTCTTCCTTCCTAAAGTAGGTCATGCTAGTTTGACCTTCCTAATGTTGCATGAAGCTTATGCTCATTATACTATGTATCACTCAATGAGTTGTTTATACTTGAAGTGATATATTCTAGTCTTTTTTGATGTCATGTATAAAGGCAGTTCCCCATGATGATGATGTTATGTTGTAGCAGTTCAGTCAGACATTTGTAATTGATATAACAAGTATTATATTCTTTGCTATTTTATGTTCATGTAATACTTGATATGAAATGGAAGTGCCTATCCTGATGTCAGAAATTTTATAAACCGATATAAGGGTGTCCCAGGAGGAATGGACCAAACTTCGGGAGGGTGTTCCTTATGTTAAAGTATGTCGATATAACCCAAAACACCTATGTCCAAAGTTGAACGGTTACAGAGATAATGGCCAGAGAAGTGTCAAACTTTGACTGGCGTTGCACACTTGTTGATTACAAAATACATATTAAAACTGGCAGGAATATGTGGATTCTGTAATGTTAATAATGTACGTAACATCAAACTAACTTGTGAGTGACATGAAGCCATAAAATTGAAGTACAAAATACTCGCTCGCCATGTCATAATTGTCCTTAGGGTTTCCAAGCACTATACATGACAAATGAATGGCAAGCGCTGACGTAATATGACTGACTGCGCGTGCTGATAAAGCCAACTACATAAGTACGGCTAGGGTGAATCACGGCACTCAAGGACAAACATAGATAAGGCCTCTCAGCTGACAGATACAGTGCGTGGACCCGCCAGAAGACCACACTTTTCTTGGGCCATTATCTCCGTAATCGTTCAACTTTGGACATAGGTATTTTGGGTTATATCGGCATACTTTAACATAAGGAACACCCTCCCGAAGTTTGGTCCATTCCTCGTGGGACACCCTGTATATAAAAATATTACATGCTGTACAGCTTGAGATGTGTTTTACATTACTAGACAGAACTCTTATAGATCTCCAGTAAGGCATCAAACACTGAAGTATATACAGTATACACAAAAATTAAATGAACATGCAATACATTTCTTTTCTAGCAAAGAAAGCAATAAGAATTTACATAGAAAGCACAGTAAAAAGTACTAAACATTCCACTACTTACAGAAATATGAGATACTGTATGTGTGTTAGACAGGCACACTGAATATATGCGTTTGTGTATTTATATGCTCCAACATTAAAATAAAGGGATTAGAAGTGAAATAAAGTAAAAGCTTAACCACTGGTTATCTATTATAAAAATACAAATCTAATAAAAATGTGATCGGAGAAATTAATATAATTAAAATAGTGAACCACCAATTACTGCCTGAAAGTCATTTAGGCTCAATGTTATGTTTTAGTGGTTATTTCTACTTTGATCCACATGTACTCCTACCTTTCTTCTTCAACTTTAAATCTCTGATGCTGAACTTGGAGCCTCATTTGCATTATCTGAATCTCAGAGAGCTGTTCTTTGCGTTTGCTTGCGAGCCCCAAGAAAAAGAAGGAAGAACTGTTCGTTAGTTTTATGTGATTGAGGGTCAGATCATAAACAAGAGTCTAAATGAGCCAAATGTCAGAGGGAACTGTGCATATCACTATTTGAGCACCCTAGAATCTCAGAAGTTGAATTTAATGCCAAAGACCGCCATTTAAACACAATGTATTGCATATAAACTGATTCAGAAAGCTGACAGAAGCACTGTTTTATAAATATTATACTGAGATACAAATGGGGGAAAGGAACACAACTTGTCAAAAACATTAATTACATATACATTTCATGAATTTCAAGATAATGGCTTCAAAGAAACATATGCAGTATAATCTTACATGAGCAACAAATTTTTAAGTTACGGGTATCTGTGTACAATTGAGTGAAAGAAACTGATGTTTCCCATTACATCTTTGACATTTAAAGGATTTTCTACAAAAATTAAATAATGCAACTCATATAAGAGAAGTCTCCTAAAACTTAATTATCTTCTGATAGGTACCTGCATATTGATTGTATTATTTGTCCTAGTGCAATCTTACATACCTTGCAGTATCTTCCAAGAAAGATACTAAACTTGTGTGTATTATAACATCTTCAATAATGCATAATTTATACAGCTGTCAGTTTATTTCTGCACCTACCAGTACAATGGAAAAATAATCTGTATCCAGTAGTGTCTTTTTTTAATAATGCTCATTTACTAACAGGTTTGATCATTATTGAAGTTAAAGCTGTATTAGGATGGGAGAAAAATAGAAAATATGTGGCCTATGTAAGAGATAGTTTTGATTGGTACCAACATGTGCCCAACCTCCTATCCAATGGGTACCGGGGGTAAAGCAGCAGGGGTGTGAAGCTGACCACTCACTTCCAGTTAGGGCCGAGGTAAAAAAAATGGGGATCTATACATCCATACTGTTACTCGACACGCTTAGGATTCCCCTAGAGGGAAGCTGTCATTTCAGTTAATCAACCACAAGTTGTACATCCATTTGGTTTTACTGAATTTCGGCTTCCACAGTTGTTCACTGTTGATGTTGAGCCAGCTCTTAGATCTTTACATTGTATGGATATGGGCAGAGTTGCCAATGTTTCAGAGGTACATGTTGCTTCCAACTTCTGGGTCGACCATAAAGGCAGAGGCATCATATACCTACAAAACATTATGAGTACTGCTAATATCCATACAATGTACAGACCAAGAGCTGAATCAACATTCCTTAGTTTTGTATTCTCTACTGACTTGGCAGATCAGCTTTCTGGTTACCTCAGGTACTCAGACAACTACTGTGCCCCCAGAACTTGTTACATCTTGTCTACAAAGAGCCTATCCCTTTAGTTTACTTTTGGGATTAAAATCAAGTAGGAACACACTGAGACTGCTCGTGTGCCAAGGGCTTTCTCCCTATTGGAACTGTACATAGGTGTGGTAGATGCTAATGGGGAAATCTCTGAAGTTTAGGAGACTTTGCTTGCAAGAGATAAATAGAGAGGCTTCTTGGAAGATTAGAGTGGAAATTCTGAGAGTGAAGTTAATCTGATACACTGTTTCAAGGATGGTATGCGCATCTGTCCATTTATCTGCAGTAGCCTTGAGTTGGGCATTCAATGAAGGTATAATTTTAAGGTGTGAGGCATATTTCAATTTTTCCTGGATGACGGCACTAATTATCTTAAGTGGCAAGGAACATTTCTGGAATAACAGTATGATCTGGAATCATGCATGTCATATATATAATTAAGATGATGATGATGATCTGTGATGTGACACCATGTAGTTTCAATCACATCATAGAAGACAGTAATCTTGGCTCCACCGCGAGAACATCAAATGCTTATATTTATAACTGTTATAAGAATTATTACCACTGATGAGATTGACAGGTCCCCTAAACTGTAGGTTGTAGATTATCGTAGCGCCCATATTTTGGTGTTTGGTAATATATGTATTGCATTTTTGAAGTTTTAGAATTAAGGAAAATTGCAGGTTGTGGAAGAACGATCCTTATTGAAAATTTATGTGGACCTGTTCGAAAGTTTTTTTTATGAATGGGGTTGCTTGAGCATTGGCTCACACTTCAAAACTTGTGGAAATCCAATATTTTGAGGGTGTCTGAATGTTCATTATCAAATTGTCATTATTTCAGTAACTCTGATGGGCCAAAATGGGTGGCCTGCCTTTCCTTGTACCTATAATGGTCATTTGTACATCCGGTTCAATAGTCTAACATGTTTTATAAGAAACAGTGTGAAACCTCAGGCATTTCATATCCTGTACTAATTCACAATTCTGTTTAACCTTTATCAGCCAGGCCATTTAAATTTGGGTAATGGCCACGGGCTGGAGTTAATTTAAATGCCCGCCATTGTAGAGTAATAAAAATTGTAATCATGTTACTCAAAATGCTGTGATTTCTACAATTTTTGTGATAAACGAACGAAATAAACGCTACTTTTATCTAGAAAGAATATAGAATCAGATATTGTAATTTACAGATTTTAGAATCTGTAAAAATTGTTACATTGATTCCAAAAAAAAATTTCCCCCAATTCTGAACGTCTGTCCACAAAAATGCATAAAGCTTCTGCACAAAACGTTTCTGCAGTATAAATGCATGCTGCTGACACACTGTCTATATTTTATCTGGCAAGAGGAGAGGAAGTTTATGTTTCGATTGCATATTCTCCAGTCATGTGGGCTTTCTGTATACACGAGTGTGGGCGAGTTCTTATCCTACTTTGTCCTTATAAAACTCTGTCTGTTTATATGTCGGACTAAACACACAGAGGTACTGTTCTTGGAATATCCCCTCAATGCCCCTTGCATCCTCGTCCCTTCAGAATCGACTCTACCGCATTCTGAATGGCGTGATTTACGAGCGGCCTCTCAATTTCGCCTTCTTCCATGCGAAATGGGGCCATGGTGCATAGTTGAAATTGCGATGTTTTATAAGCGTTACGAATAGGAGACCACTTGCCATCACTGGCCTACTTTCTGTTAATGCGAGACTGATGTTGCGTGTGTGTGCTTCGCGTGGAAAACAGAATTACATACGGACAAAGTGCATGAATTGCGATGTTGGACTCTGCATTCAGTTAGATGATGCAGGAGGGAAGACAGTCTACTTATAAAGCTGGTGTCCAAAAATAATATAAGTAGAACAAGAATTTCTATCTTGAAATTAGATTTTAAAACACTGTGTGCACGCGTGGACTGCGAGTCACCATACGGTGTCGTTCTGCCACTCGGCTTTACTTTAAAGGTCCCCATACGGTGTCTTTCGGCTCATAAAGGTTAAAGCTATTATTAATATTATAATTATGGGTTAAAGTTTAATGCTGTAATGGAGTAAACTAACAAGAGGGGTGAGGTTGGTGTTACACTGTTCAGATTTGCTTAAGCAATATCCAGATGTATGGATTTTACTTACAGAAAATTATTTCTGAGCAGTGCTTATAAAATCTTCAGTGAACTTTATAACAGATGCAGGAAGAAAATTAAGCTGTCTTCTTGTTCGTGAATTACAAGAAGATGAATTGCTACTTTTTTTTTTTTGTTAATCTCCAAGTGCAAATTGCTTTCCTTAGGTGTAAAGTAGGCACAACATGAAGGTGATCAATGCTCTCCATCAAGTGCTGCCGTTAAGTATGCATGGAGTTTTACCTCTATTCCCCATCCAGACCTTCCTACATGGTGTTTAGGGACAGGTATGACTTAACCTCTACCATTTTCATCTTCCAAGAACACAAAACCTTATTCATTCACTTATTCTATGGTCAGAGGTATTTCTTCAAGAGTTGGTAGTCATTTACTCAAACAACCTATAGAACCTGAAAGTTCATAAATATCATCACAGACTTTAACCACAAGACCTTAACCCGAGCTAATCCATGCAATGCATGTGTTCAGAATGTGTAAGGGACTTCTCGGGAAATCAGTCATGTCAACACTAGGACTGCTCGCTCTCTCTCTCTCTCTCTCGTGCACACACACACACACACAGCAGGCTCCAGAACAAATCAGGAACTGTTTGCAAATTCCAGGGCAATGAAGACCCAGCCCCAAATGTCTATATATACATATACAGGTACATTTTTAAAGCTACTGAAGTGTTCATGACTATGCGCTTCATCGCTAATGGGGCATCACTGGCCACTAAGTGCGTGTGAATTTTGTCAATGACTCAGCATGCTTGACAGCCGATAATATTCAAAATGAAGGAAAATAATTAACTAGCAGACCTCTAAACAGTATTATGTTACATGGCAAGAAGTGCAGTTCATGCATGGGAGTTTATGATTTCTCAGCAGTAGGCAGTAGTTATCAGTGCCATGAGCCATGTGTTCCCAGTTAACAGTTGGTCAGCAGTTCAGCACAACAATGTTCACAATAATTTAGAGCAATGTGTGCTTCTCAATGACATCTATGTGAAATATGGTTCTGCTGGAAAGTATCGGTGAACATTTTGACGTAAATTTCATGATAGTTCACAGCAGACAAACCATTCATAATTTGGTGAATAAATTTAGAACAGGACTCTTAATAGACAAGAAAACAAAACATAAGTGTCGAGCGCTAACTGAGAAGTGATCCTTTTGAGTTTTCTTCTGGGGTTGTGTGAAGGACAGAGTTTACAGCAGTAACCCTCAAACAGAAGGACTGAATGAAAACATTTGCAGGGAAATTTCAAAAAGTCCTGCAGAGAATCTTCAGAAAGTAAATCAAAACCTCTTCCACTGGTGCAAGGAAGGTCTACATTTAGAGGGACAGCATTTTGTGAACAAAGGTAAGAATTTCCCTTCATTCCAAATGCTGACTCATCAGCAAAGTTTGCATGTGCTCCGCGGCCAGCAGTGCACCGGTCACAGTGAAGTGCGGAGCCATGAACACGTCAAGTTCATTAAAAACCACCCTGTATTTATGCCAGCTGCCACCATCAGTTCCTGATGATGCAGGTACAGAAAACTCTGAAATGCTGCATAGTAACTCCATATCCAAGCAGCCAATGCCCAAGAAGATTTCAATGCAATTAACTGCGGCAAAAACTTAGATGTGGAACACATACATATCTTATGTCTTCAAGATCCATTTGAATATCATTCTCCCATCTATACACAGGTCTCTCATGCAGTCTCTTCCCATAAACCTTTCCAACCAAAACTACATACTTTTCTTGTCTCAGTATGCATGCTACATGCCTCATATTTTCTAATTAAATCACAGTAAAAATGCAGGGTACGAATTATGCAAACTCCTCAATGATGTGAAGTTAAGACTGCTTATCCATACTCACTTTCCAAAAGAGTAATATTTTCTACACCCCAGGAAGTGACACAAGACTACAAAAGGCCATCAAACACACAACTGAAGATATCTCTTAATCCTGCTTAGTGCCAAGTTAACAATGACAATGACAGAAACAAAAAATAGGAAACAAGAAAAGAAAAGGCCATAGCCTATTTTTTAAAGGCAAAAATGACAAAAATGAAACCATAGAAATATTTATGTTATAAACCATACACAGTTACAATGCAGAGGCACTCCACAGTCAGAATTGCATGCTACTAAACAAATGAAATTCATGACCAAACCACTTACTTGAGATGCTGCTGAATCTCTTCATAATTTACATAATGACTGAAGCGTGCTGGATCAGTAATGCCAACACGGCTACCAGGACGAGTCATTTCACCATACAAATCATAGCTTGCTGACCGCACGTGTGCCTGTTGTTGGGTATTTGAAAATTGTGGCTGTTCCAACCGCTGACAAAACAAAGAAAATAATTACATAGAAATATAATTCTTGGGACAATGAGCATCAGAAATATAATATTCTGAAGAGTATTGATACAAATACAGTGGAACCATTATGGAACAAGTATAGCTTATGAGAAAAAATACTGACAATGTCAGTTTCTTAATGTTACATTCATGAAAAAATCTCATATAAAATGAGGGAATTTTTCTGGCATTTTCATCAAAGGATGAGATTTTTATCCAGTCATAACCCTCTGTATCAACTGTAATCACAGGTTTATTTCCCAAGCTATTTATAGTTGCCACTCTGTAAAAGTATCTTTAAAGCATACAATACACCTCTCATTTTGGGGAGGAAAGTCAACATTCCAGAATCAGAGAATTGTATGTAGGAGACATTCTAATTCACAGCTGTAAAACATCAGCCAATGGCTGCAAGTACAACGGGTTATGTAAGCATAAGAAATATGTAACTTCTTTGTTCAGATGATACTGTGACATGATGCCTAAAAATCTGAATTTTGGAGTCAAGAGAAGCAATGTGGAGGCTAAATGGCTTGTTATAAAACGTTTTCTACGCAAAGAATAAGCATACAACAGCAGAGGAACTGGTGGAGAAATGTTCTCTAATCAGACATCAACAAAGCTATATGCAGACAGCCAATAAGACCCAAAGTCAGAGACACTGAAGACGTGAAATTTCATATATGGTCCCTGTTCTTAGAGCCTGATACCTAGGAATGTGTCTGTGAAGACAGAACCAGTAGGGAACTAGCCAAGAGCAAGATACTGAACGGTCAATGACTCCAAATACTAGTACTTGTAAGCCATGTAATTATCATATTCTTTTTTTTTTTACATTCCCTATAGAACAGACAATACTTTGTGAGATGAGACACCGACTAAATATGAATTAACATTAATATTACTACATCTACATCACGAGCCTCCAATAACAGTTTTTATACATAAAATATAGAATACTCCAATTTGTCCGTGGGAACGAAACAAAATCACAAAAACCAATGACTGACTCAATGATGTAAAGCACCAATCGAAGAATTTTATTCTTGTTTTATACTATAACTTTTGTTTTATATAATTTAATTTATTGTATTTTACGTCAAGTATTTTAATATAATTAATATTACTGTATCCAATTTTATTAATACTGCAGTTCAGTGGTGTATATATGTTAGTCATGTATTTGCCTGATGATGGGTGTTAATAGCTGAAACATGTAGCAGAGCCAAAACCAGGCACTGACCCTGATATAGTTGTGTTGTGATGGTCTTAATAAAGAAGTTACATGTAATTATCCATAAATAAGAGTAACTAGTATCTGACAAATTCAATTACCAAACCAAACCCTGTGTCTAGTCACTAACCTGTGACAATACTAAACGCACCATGAAAAACATCTAAAAGTTTGTGACGATGGTATATTGCTATAAGTATTACGTTTTTTCAGTGACCTACATTTTAATATGTATGATAAAGGGTCGTACAGCATCCACATAAAGGTCAAGAAGCCTGATACCCCATCAGTGGAAAGGAAAAAGGAAAAGAATTGTGGATAGTTTGACATCTTCAATGTTATGTCTAACTCTAGATCAGTTTCCAATCCATTAGAGAGTATGCTCGATTTATCTGGGAAGTGACCTTCTCAGAAAGAATACCTGTAGAAGTAAACAACAAAGTTTTGGACAGCCCCATGATCCAAAATGAAGGGATAACTGCATACATAGTAAGATATATGGTTGTTAAAAAGGGAGTCATTAAAGATGCACCTGAGGATATGGAATTAGAAAATTTGATTCGACAGCTCAACTTGGACAATCAAACAAACATCCCATACCTTTCCAGGTAACTGACACAGTCAGACTTAAGATGAGAGTCAAAGAGACCAACTATGAAACCAAGGAAGAAAGACAGGTATGGAAAGAGTCAAGGACAGTATGTTTGACGTTTAGCACCAAGGAATTGCCCCCTCATGTATACTTCTGCAGTATGAAAATTGAAGTTACTATGTTTATTGCAGCAGTACAACAACATTACAAATGTGGGAAATTTGGCCACATAAGTACATTTTGTACGAAGGAAAAACAAGGCTTCTCGTGTGGAGAAGCAAAACATGAAGGGTCTTGCATAAAAAAAAATCATAAATTGTAACCGGGACCACAGAGCAAACAGCGAGCGATGCCCCATACTTAAAAAAGAAATCAATCAAATCATGGCTCATAGAAATGGCGGATTTTTTGAAGCACAAAAAATTGTAGAGAAATGGTCGAGCCCTTTAGGTGCTGAAAGCCCACGAGGGTACACTGAACCAAATATGAGGAACTTCCCCTTTCTCAAAACACCAAGAAGACAAAAGGAGTGGGATACTATTGAGAAAAGCAAAAACAATAAAGTCCCGAGCCAAACAATTGGATGGAATCCAGAGAGAAGGTGATGGAAGATGAACACGGATAACAGCAGGATTCAAATATCTGAACCGAGTTCAAACAAGATTGAGCAAAGGAACAACTATAAAGACCAGACAGTGCCAGAGAAATCCTTAGATAAGTTGGAGTCAATTGAGATGGAGGATGGAGTCAAGAACATATTGGTGACAATAATCAATTTAGTGATAAACTCCGGGGATGCTAAAGCAATGGTCAGACACCTATGGAAAGCCACCGAGCTTCACGAACAGCATCACAATAAAATTCAACGGAACTCAACCAATTAAGATAGTTCATTGGAACTGTAGGAGCCTAAGAAGTAAGTTCCCCAAATTCCAACAGAGGATCCAAAACATAGATGTCATAATCCTATGAGAGACCTAGCTTGACAAAGCAGAAATTGTATACCTGAAAGGGTTTGACGTGGTGAGAAAGAAAGGAACGAAATGGAAGGTGGTGGACTTGCCATTTTTTTAAATAACAAACTGAAATATTAGCATAAGAATGGTTTGTGTGATGGAGATGGCAAAACTGAAGTGTGTGCAATTGAACTATATACGGGCCAAGATAAAATATTAATTGTGTCATGTTACAAGCATACACACATGAAAATCGAGTTGAGAGTATGGAAAAAAAATTTCACACAATTCAAAGGAAAATTCTTGATTGGCAGAGACATTAATGGATATCATCATTCATGGGGTGATTCAAAAAATTGTACAACCTGCAACAACCTGTACCATTGCATCAGTGAATTGGAAACAAATATCATGTTGCTAAATGACAGCTCCCCGACACATATCTCCGATGTCACAGGATCCAAGGCAGCCCTCGACCTAACTTTTGTTGACCCAAGATCAGCACTGTTATATACCTGGAAGGTTGGAACAGACCCTTGGAATAGTGACCATTATCCAATTTTAATCGAGTAAAACGGCAAAACAGAGCCAGGGAAAGGCAGCAAAGAGGCTTCTAGATTGCACAATAAACATACTGATTGGACTGTCTTCATGGAAAAAGTTAATGAAAAAATCACGGAAGTCAAAATGCATGATGGATGGAACAGAGAGGGGGATGTAAAGTAAAAGTACGATAATGTAATCCAGATAATTAAAGGAAAATTAGCAGAGACCATTCCTAAAAGAAAAACAAAACAAAAAGAACCTTGGAAATGGAGGACATGGAAAAATAGGAAATGGAGAAAAACAACCAGAGTGTATATGGTGGAACAGAGAAGGCAATAAGTAATTAGAATTAGAAAAGCTAAATTGCTTAAACGGAAATACTGTAAAACTGAAGAGACATTTTTGGAATACAAAAGGACGGTGATTATAGCAAAAAATAGACAGAGAAGTCAAACATGAGCACTGGAAAACTTTCTGCAAGGGAATAAATCATTCACAAATTCATTTGGGATAGGATGAAAAGACTAAAATATATCACAACAGAAACAAGAATATAAAGAAGAAGTAGTTAATTCTGCCAAAACGACTTTTGAAAAGCTATGCCCTGGTGTAGATGAACCCAATCAAGCAACGGCATTCAATCATGAAAATCAGGATCCATTCCTGTACTCAGATTACACAATTCAAGAACTCCACTTCTCAATTAAAAAACTCAGAATCCGATCCAGCCCGGCACGGGATGGAATAGACTACGCCATAATACACAATTTGCCAAATGAAGCTTTAGAAATTCTGCTAGAAATTTACAATGATATTTAAGAGCAAGAGTATTCCCGGACGACTGTAAAAAATACAATTATTTTTTATCCCTAAAAGAGACAAAATGAATGTAAGACCTATATCCATGGCATCATGCATGTGCAAGGTACTAGAACAGATGATAAACATGTGCATCTCCTGGTGGCTAGAAAAGAATCATAAGTTCTAAGTATGGATTTCGGCAAAACAGGGGTTGCACAGACAACCTAGCAATACTAACAACTGAAATAATAAAAGCGTTTGAAGAACAGAACCCAGTATAGGCCTTATTCATAGATATTAAAAGTGCATACGACAACATCCACTGCGGCACTTTGATGGATAGACTCAAAGCAGTAGGCTTCTCGGGAAACCTGGTCTCCGTGAGGGAATTAGAGGTAAACTATGGTTGTAGATCTCAAAGACTGGACATACAAAGGCTTACTGCAGGGTAGTGTTCTGAGTCCAACCTTATATTCACTTTATATGGCAGGACTGAAATCCAGAATCAACTGTAACTGCAAGCTCCTCAAATACGCAGACAATGTGGCAATTTATTCAGTTAACAGATGTAGCAGAATTCGCATATCGGAAGTGGAAAAGAGCATACAAACCATTGAACTTTATTTAAAGGAAAGTTGCTTGGATATAGCACCAAAAAAATGCTAACTGTGTATCTTCGATAAAAGAGGGACAACTGATGGAGAGTGGGAGATCACGGTACAAGGGTGAAAGGTTTCTTCAGTCAAATCAATTAAATTTTTAGGTCTGCACTTAAAATCTAATCTAGACTGGGAGGACGAAATAAACGCAATAATTATGAAATGCGAAAACCCAATGAAAATCAATAACTGTGTGAAGCACACTTGGTGGGGAATGAGCCCTGTAATTTAAAAAAGACTCTACAAGGAACTTATAGAGAGACTGGAACCACGAGGGAATGAGCCCTGTAATTTTAACGAGACTCTACAAGGCACTTATAGAGAGACTGGAATCGCGAGGAAAAAAATATTCAATTTCACTGGATCTCAGGGCACTGTGGAGTTGAAGTTAACAAGAGGGTCAACTTGGAGGCAAAGCAAGCAATCAAAGAAGGTAGAGATAGTCAATTACTATTACCAGTAGCAGATCTTAAAACGCAGTGGAAAAAGAAAGGCAAAGAAGAACAGTTTTTGTCAAAACACCAAACAGGACAGAGGAGAAAGCTAGTTTGAAAGGTACTACAGGAAAGGCTCGTATCCGTGGTTCCAACAGATAAAAATGAATCGCCGCGCCTTCGTATCAATAAACCGTATGAGGGCGGGACACACCAGTCTTAAAGTAAGCTTAAACAGATTTAACATTGTGTCCACAGCCGAATGCGAATGTCATGATGGGCTGCAAATGGAGGAACATATCTTCTGGGACTGTAAACGGTACGAGGACCAAAGGGAAACAATCATGGACATCTTGTGTGAGAACAGCAGAAAGCATTACCCAAAATCAGTTACACAGCTCTTAAGGCTAGAAGAAAAAAGATTTCTGCAAGGCATCTGTTACTTCATAAACAACATTCCTGTATTTATATAAAACAGATATGTAAGAAAAGTAAAAGAAGTAATTGTACTGATTATTTACAGTATACACAGAGATTTAAGTCAAGATCTATATTAACGCAAGGCTACCACTATTACAGAATAAGATGTTTATTAGAATGTGCTACACAAGGCCGGATGGGCACTGCCTAGGCCTCTCTTGTATTTACATTTTTTCTCTAAAATTGAAAAAATGTTTATGATGTTTATAAGAATGTGCTACAGAAGGACGGATGAGCATTGCCTAGGCCTTCTTCGTATTTAGAATGATTTTTATACAATAAAAAATTATATGCTTCACACTGTTGTCAGTCTCTTTATTTACTTGTCAGGTCTTGTATGGTTAGTTACAAAGTTAATTAAAATTTCTATTTAGATCTGAAGTTCTCACAGTGGTGGATATTAAGCTTATGGTCTTCTTGGATGTCATGCCATGTAGTCTGGTAGATATATATCAACATCTCAATGGAATCAGCTGTCCCCATCAACATCTCAAGGACAGCATTAGCAAATTACTCTGAAATGTTGGTACTTATCTATCTTACTGCACAGTACTACATCCCAGATGGTTGATCTTAAAATTGCTATTGTTATAGTTTTCTTCATGTTAGTAACTAGTTACAACATGCATTTAATGGTGTCTATTAATACTTTCATTAAAATCATTACCTATTCTCATAATTTTTCTGATGTATTTAAAATTAATTTGGATATTATTTTGAGCCTACAATTTTAAGCCATTTTCCTACTTAAGAAGTGTAAATGCCCCTTCTTTTTAATATTTCTTATGGGGGATGGTTCCACTTTATTTCTTTCTAATTTAATAACACAGGAATTATTACTGGACTGTTGCAATGTTACACATTTCTTTCTCATAGTTATTTATTTCTGTTTTGCATAAGATTTGCCATTTTCAACAAAAAATGTCATACCTGGTCCCCAGGCAAGACTGACCCTTAAAATTATATAGTCTTGCCTAAGTCACATCAGGGAATACTGTCATGAAAACCACTGGGACGGTCTATGCTCTTCTTGCAATTCACTACTTCATTTCACATGGACTGACTGCCATAATGTTACCACAATACACATGTACATCCACTACAAGAGTCTTCATATGAGTTCCTTTTTTCATGTTTAACCCGTTGCCGTGGTTCGTCGTGTATGTTTCGTCAGGGATTTAAATCGTCTGGGGGGGTTCGACGTGTATGTTTCGTTCAGCTGCACACCTATGTTATAACGCCCATAATAATTGATGGTTTTGCTGTAGATTGTTAGATTTTTCGCTGGCCTGTTGTCAGTAGAACAGAGTATAAATAAGACAC